CTCCAATTGAAATGCAGCTGAATTTACAGTTGAAATTCAGCTGCTTCTGTAGATGAACCTCCAGCAAGAATAACCAACAAAAACATTCTCATTCTACCAGTTTATTGCAATTAGGAACAACCTGGATCTGACTTTACTTTCCAGCTGCTACCCAGTTGGAATGGGTCTGAATTTCCAACTGAGGTTCAACTGGAAATTATAGCTGTCTCCAACAAGGATTTTTAGCTGGGGGGGTTCAAAATCATACTTTTGGCAAATTACTTTATGGGTTATGCATACTTAATATTTCATGCAAAATATAATAGGTGCATTAAAAATAAGTTGCAGAGGCATCTGAAGGTCAATTGCCCTCACGTGTAACAACCTCATGCAGTGGCGTAGAAAATATTCTAGGGAGGGGTCAGGGGGGGTGCAGCTGCTCCCCCTGGCATCCCTGGGACAGGGCTTGGGGCCTCCACTCTGCTGCCCTGTCCCCCCTGACTCTTCAGCCAAAATACACCACTGACCTCATGCTATGTTTTACTTACAACCATAAGACCTGTCTATGCATATTCACTACATATCAGGCATTATGCCAGTTGCCCATCACACATAATATTGCAATGCAGGTAAAATATACTGTATTATGCACCATACAATTGTTAATATATTAATACATATATGGTGGTATATGGCAAATATATGATCATACATGACCATACAGAATCATACACCCTGTCATACATGGAATTTTCACGTGGGTATCTTTGCACATTGGCTACCATGTCAGTCCAAATGGCTGACAGCAACTAGTTTCACATTAATGTATCAGTCCATATGAGCAACACTATTTTTTTCTCCAGGCTACATCAGTCTTTTGAAAATTAACAGCAAAATACATTCTAGTAACTCGTGTTACCCCATTGGCCTATAATGACGAGGGCTACTCTCCATTGCTTTTCTCGCCATTTTTTTAAATCAATTCAATGGAAATTTAGCTAAAATTGTTGCATTAGATAGCAAAAGCATGAATTTATCCATGTACTAGTGGTTTCTGCTTGCATTTTAAAGGCTTTGAGACAATTTTCTCATGTAAAACTTAGTTTTTAAAATAATAGTGATTATTAATATTAGATTACATCATATGCCAATAGGTTAATATAAGCGGTCACCATTTATGGAGTTCCTGTCAGTTCAACCAACTTATTGAGCAATTTATCAAAACCAAGTGGTATGTCCCACTCTATTGCAGGGAAGTACACTTAGGACCCACTGATGCTTTGATACTTTTGATCATTACACTCAAACCCAGCATCTATCTATTTCATCACTCTAATGGTCTAGATCTATATTTTGCTCCCACACTCCTTGATGTCTAATTTTTTTATCTGTTCCTAAATTTTCACTTTATCATCACAATGTATTCCAAAAAGACAATGCCCAGGCCAAACCCAAGCACTATGTACTGCCAGAGTCAACAAAATCAAAGGCTACTGTGCAATCTTCATTGGCTATTTTGCTAACTCAATGGCACCCTGGGTTAGGTTAGAAGCAAACACTAAGTAAGTAGGCTAGTGGGAATGAGCCCTCCCCTATATCAGGAAAGCTTTAAAAAGCATCTGCTTATAATAATAAATTTTTACCCAAGTTCAGAGTCATTGTGCAGAAATATATATTACAGCACAGAAGAAGGCACCATCTTGGATTTCAAGGTGAAAATAGTCATTTCTTCCTCCAAAATTTATCTGAGACACCAAAACTTTCCTGAAATCCCAAATTCAATCTTTCCTGAAATATATCTGGTTGCCCCCAAAAATCCTCAACATTCATGAATATTTCAATGATATTGGTTTGTAAGTACATGATTACTTCCTGATTAAAAATGGGCGCATGCCAAGGAGTATACCTTGGTTGCTTTCTCCATGCACAACCAGAATCACCCTAGCCCACTCCAACTGAGCACACGTGGTAAAGTGACTTTTAGGACACCTTGTATATTTATGGGAAAACTGAACTTTGCCTCAGCAAAGTTCTCAGAAAACCATTACAGAAGGAAGCTAAAATTTTCGCCTTTCTCTTAAATTATACCTCCACGAACTGCAAAGCACATCACTTCACAATCAATCTGGCTAAATGAAAGGAAAAAATGAGTTCAATTTTATTGCCTCACCAAAAGTTTTGCCAAAGGATCGCTATGTGCAGTGCCCCTTAGAAATGAGAGGAAAAGCAAACAAAGCAAACAAGCTTTGGTTACAAGGTTACAAGCAAAAAAAGCGAAAAATTAATGACAAAATGGAAATGCATGATGCAAAGTATACCCGGTGCCAGCGTTTCCTGAAGAAGCGTCGGACTTGGAAAAAGAAATTGGCACTGGTAGGCACCAAGCCAATCACAGGCCTAACTTCGGAAATTAACTTTTCGTTGTCTCACCTTCTTGGTATTTCAATTTCGGGGACATCCTAGTAGAAGCGTTCGCCGTCCGGATTGGACAAGGCAGAGGTCCTACTCCGAGCCTATACGTCCGATGCAAGCCGCCATTGAAGTAGGTGCAAGGTTGCCAAGTGTCAGGCCTTTCATAAGACAAAAGTATGATGAAAGAAGCCACAAATTTGGTCTTATGACGGATTTATTGTCCTCATGGAACATATATACAAAGGGTCTCAACTTTGGGAGTGGGAAGAACACTTAGGCAGAGCCGGTTTCTTTTGCAGCGTAACGAAGGTCCATGAGCATTAATATGTTGGATGCAAATGGTAAAGGGTAATGAAATCGTCTCCATTCAACCGATAACCACAGTAACCATCTTGAAGTGCGACTAGTTTAATTTTGCACACATGCACTGCATGGGATCTATGCTCGCAGCAGTGGAGAACGCGCTGAATAAGGAACACCCTGAAGAATTACTTGTAAGGTCAGTTGTGTGACTGCAGTAGCAAGTCCAAGACAGTTCGAATCAATTACGATTCTGGCTCTAGTTTTAAGGAATCGCAATCCATATATACACGCAGTGCAACGATGTAATTAAATAAATAAATAATGATATAGGTAAATACATTCAAATATGACTGAACTTGTGACAAAAAATTGGTGTGCCGGCTCTTCCCTGATCCCTATAACACTCTTGAGTTCACGTGAGGGACAGTAAACGCCATGAGTGTGTAGGGAAAACTGTGCAATATACAGGATGGTCATAAAGTCCCAATCTATTTTATTTATAAACTCAAAATTCTTACAAAAAATGCATAATGTGCACTTCACATTGTGGGATCTTGAAGCCCAAAATTCATTTCGCGAACATAGTGCGAGATTATCTAATGAGAAGTTCCCGTAGCGTTGGATTGGCCGAGAATCAAACAGAATGTTGGCTTCAGGATAGCCTGACATAACCCCCTTGGATTTTTTGAATGGGGAACATTAAGTCAAAGGTTTACAGCACAAAGGTTTTCAATGCTGAAGATTTAAGAGATTGTATCTATGCTTCTGTTAATACTGTAACCCCTGACATGCTGAACATCCTGAATGTTCAGGGAAACAACGGATCGATTGCAGTTATGTATCGATTTGGAAGGTAGTCATGTGAAACATCAGTAAAACAAAAAATGTTAACAGCTGATTTTTAATTTCCTATTACCAAATTTATTTAGTTCATTAGTGACAATGTGAAGTACACATTGCATATTATGCATTTTTAAAAATACTTTTGAGTTTTTCAATAAAATAGATTGGGACTTTATGACCACCCTGTACAACGGAACAAGATCATGATTCCCGAATTGCAGTGGAAATGGTGTTTCGGTTGCACCCGCGTAACTGGAAGACCGAAAAGGCCAATATACAGTGTCCATTAAGGTACGACTTAAAAATAATGTCATAATTCAGTAGCAAAGTGCTTCATTATCATGAAACCTCCCATGCATAAACTCACTACCTGAGCATTTTCTGTGATAATGCCTTTTGTCAGAAATATTAATTTCAGCCCTCCACATGTCTACCGTCTCGCTGACGACACAATTCCCAGCAGCACGAGAGTGCCGCCACGTGTTCGCTAACATACCCTGCGTGATGCCAGTGAATGCTTCCTGAATGCGGTTTCTTGGGTCTGTCACGTCGCACAGTCTCTCGGCATGCACCTTTTCTTCGATATAACTTCATATGGAGTCCATAGGTGTGAGATCGGGAGAGTTCGCCGGCCGGGGAATTAATTGGCCCTCGTCCACGCCATCTGTGGTGTGGAAGAGGAGGCCCAATCGAAGAAGAGGTGCATGCCGAGAGACTGTGCGATGTGACAGACCCAAGGAACCGCATACGGGAAGCATTCACCGGACTCACACAGGAAACGTTAGCGAACACGTGGGCAGCACTCGTACCGCTGGGAATTATGGCGTCAACGAGACAGTGGACATACGGAGGACTGACATGAATATCTTATGTTTATGAGTTTATGCATGGCAATTAAGTACAGAGTGGTCAATTTAAGTATTTACAGTTTTTTTTGCTCTATTTGCGTTCATCTCATTCGAGATGAACCTGTCAGCCGTCCGAGTAATTAACGCGCGTCTCAGTTCGATGCTTCCAAGGAACCCCAGGTGTCTCACGAAACCATTACCGTAGACTCGCGATCGATGGAGGAAAAAAAAAAAAGAAGCTCGCTCGGTCTCTCGAGAAAATCCCGAAACAAAGGACCGCCTCTAACTCCGCCCTTGGCAACATTAGACGCAGGGAAGAATTCGCTAAGCCTGAATCTCTGGCTTCCGTGGATGGTCTGTCATCGGCGAAACGTGTGTCTTAAGTCGACACGTGAAGAGGAGGCTGAATGTAGGGGGGAAGGGGGATCTATGTCAATGGAGACAGTTTAGAGGATGGCTGCTAAAATTATCAGAACTGTCTGGAAATTGTCCAATTAAAACATGTACCGAGGGGAAGGGGGGGGGGGCGAGAACGAGGCTCCAGTTGGCAATATGGGCACAATTTCCTCTTAACATCACGACCCAAAATTTGAACAAAAAAGTCGGTCATACGATGTCGTCCATGGAACGGAGGAGAAGAAAATTTATTCATAAGCAGCTTCGAAATCGGCTGAGAATGATGCCGGCAGCGACGGAGACGTTGAGGGAGTCCATCGCACTCGTCGCGGGTTCGCCGTCGCGGTTCCGCCGCAATCCACCCGGTCGGATCGCGATGCAAGCATCCGCCTCTTTCGTCACGGCACTCGTCACGCCGCTCCTCTCGTTGCCTGCATCGATCGACACACGGATCATTGCGTGTCACTCGAGTCCAACCAGAGTTGGACTCGGACAAAAAAAGGTCGAGAAGTTTTCATCGATAGGAGCTACGAAATGGTTTAGACCGACGGAAAAGCTTAAGAAATTCAACGATTTAAAATGCGACTAGAATCGTAATGACACGTGACGAGTGGCACGAAAAAGCGATTTAACGGAAACCGCCTGTGTTCTGCCTTGTTAGAGAGAGGGCCATCGTGGCGGACTTCGCAGGGAGCAGTCGTGTGCATTTGCTTCTTTTCTGGGATTTTCGGTACTCTTAAATTGCCCCCAAAATTAATTTTTTCAAAACATGGCGGAAACCTTTACTACTTATTTGAGACGTCATTTGCAGAAATACGTGGGAACCCCCCGACATCGGACAAAGGTATAATATTTAAAAATTAAACTGGCGTTTTCTTTTGGATAGTGTGAACACGTAATGCTTTCGCTCAATTCCCCCCCCCCCCCCCCCCCCCCACACCCCGCCCTCGGCACTTGGGTAGCAAAAGTTTTCGATTTTACGGCCCGCGGGTCTGCTGTCCACAGGTTGTATGGTCCCAATCGCCGAAAACTTTGGGAGCACCTGCCATATAGAGATGCATTAAAAAAATGCTAAAAATTTTCATATTTGAAGAAATCACTTGCTAATGATTAATCCAATCCATAACAGCTTAATCGTAATATTTTTCACATTAGAAGGCCAAATCTTCACTCGTGTTGCTACTAGCAGACAAGTTTATAGCTCTAGATGATAGGGATCAACTTGGAATAAAAACTGTATACAACTCATTGAGGCAAAGGAGAGTTAAGTGGGTTAAATATCGCAGAGAAGCGGGGACAAATTTGGATTCAACCACTTTTGGTCAACTTGACTCACGTTCATAGGTGGCGATTTCTTGAGAAACATGTGGGGGGGCTCAGAGACAAGACATTTTTGCCAGCATTTCTTATTCTCGTGTCCGCGCTGTCCCCCTTATGGGGCTTTCAATGCTCTCATCCAACTTTGACACTTATTAAAAATTTTCCTTGTCGCATTTGACTTTATTATTACCATATTTGACTCTATAGACTCTGAAGAAGGAATTCTAAGGGCCTTTCCTTCTTTTGCTTATATGCTTAGTAGAGAGTAGAATGAGGCAGACCGAAGATGACAAGGGAGGGCTGGAGCCGGGGTGTGGAAACAAGATCCTCCAGGTTCTCTACATCCACTAAGGGCACTGAACTGTGCTTCTGAATCGATGTGGCATACACCTTCCAACCATGGGTTTCCTTCAGGCATCTCAGGATACCCAACATCCCTTCAGGTCCCTCCCGGAACAGACTCATCACCTCCAGCGCGCCACTGCTTGCCTTACTTACTGTCCCCGACAGTGCACAGCTAATATCAAGAAGAAAAAAAACCATACCTGACTATTCAGAAATTCAGTCATGACTCAGTTGGTAACCAATGAAACAGATTTTATGTCAAGCTGATGATTTATTGCTTAAAACTGCCCATTCTCTCTTTGTGCAAGCCTTGGTAGATGGGTAACAAACATCCACAATGGCCTGATTTCATTCTTCTAAAGATCATTAAGGAAAAAAATAAATTTTATGACAACATATTCATTTTGTAAGGCTTGTGCTACCCACTCCTAATGGGTATGTTATTAATTTTAGGGTATTACCCCTTGTTTTCATAATGGAAAGTGAGGAAATGTGTTGGACATTCATAATTTGCATTCTGGACAAATTTTAGGCAATATGATTTCCAGGTAGGGCAAAGACCATCTTTAATATTCTCTACCTGGATTCCAGTACTTCCATATTTAGCTGTTTGGAAGACTAAAAATGAATATTCAACAACTGAAACTCATGGTGGAAATTAAGTTTTAGCATACATAACAGGATGCACAACAGGAGCACTTGTGGAATGCTATTCAATTAGAGCAAATTGACAAGAATGAAAGAGCAAAGACAAGCATTTGGACATACATGAGCATCTGTTGACAATTTAAGCTGTCACTAGGGCACATGAAGGACATTGTATGCTGTATTTCCCAACATTTAGGAGCTTTAGTCATAGCACTGTAGAATGGATTGCAGGAAAAATTGTAACATTTTCCTCTGGTTTAGTTTTCCATGATCTGGAAAACAACAATCAAGTCCCCTTCTCAAAAGAAAGTCCCACAAGATTGTAGGAAAGCCTGAAACTTGTCCCACAATCCATGTCTCTATGATTAAAAATACTGGATCAGTGAGAAACTCTCAATTTTCATCCAGTGCTGCTAAAAATACTTTCCTGTCCTCTGGTCATATGAGTTTCAAGAAAAAGTAGAAGCAATGATGAGATTTCCATTACTGTTTTCCACATTCCCTTTCACATGGGATAGGAATGGAGAGTAAATTTCCTTCTAAATGCAGAAAATGACATGTGAATATCAAGACCATATTTCTCAAAATTAAATGGACCCCTCAAGTGTTAAAATGAACATCAACTTGCTGAAATTGAAATCATTCCTTGCTAGTTCTTTTAACAATGCTCTTGACTAAGAGAATGCCAAAATGAATTATTAACCATCTAAAAGTAGTTTTAAGGAAGATGCAATGCTACAATCTTCTGATCATATCATGACCCAGGTAATACACTGCATGCCAATTGAAGTGGATATTTTGTATTTTTGGTTGTATTTGAAGAATTCTGCCATTAACTGTTATTAAAATGTGTCAAAACAGAAGAAATGTTCTTCATTGACAATTCTGTAGAATTGTAAATAATAAGTTGAAATGAATTGCCAGTCATTTATTTAGCAACAGAAAATGTAAGTTACTTTTAAAGGAGAAATTATAATATATCCACTTCCATTGATGTGCAACACATTAGACACATGGACTTAAGATACTCAAACTAAATATTCTTTCATGGCCAAATTGGAGAACTTTGGTGACCTTGATCTTCTTGCTATTTGCTAGAAATGGTCTGAAACAAGATGAAACTTGCCTATGATGAGCTGAAAAGATGACATGGTCAACATTGAAGAAACAAGCTGATCGAAGAATGGCACCAATATTCATTGGATCTTGGATTCTTTCCAAATAGATAGAAAGGCCAGTGTTTCCTGGCTGCACTAGTCTCTCTAGTCCTGTCTCATTTAACTCCTGCGGTCTCAATGGCGATACATCAGCTAATATCCCCTATACAACATATGGAGCAAAGAACAAAGTATATGTAAAGCAAACATTTTTTTGATATCTAAGACAACAATGATATTAATCCGTAATAACACATCTGACCAAAGCCTCCTAGCATCTCCATATTTTAAAAACTATTTTCCCTGGATGAAGTAGACTCCAAGGGTCTTATTCCACCAACTTTCCTGTCAAAGGTGACCTGGATCAACAGGCTGTAAAAACTGTGATCCTGATTTTGCTCATATATGACTACTCAGATATGGCTTTGAGCTCATGAAATTCAGATTTAAGAGCAAGTTATGGACTCATATGTGAATCACACACCAACATCAAGGTCTCCAGACTTATGAGAACTCACAGGGAACTTGTCCATTGTTTAGTAAGCATGGCACAGGAAGCCCTATGCCACAAGGAATGCCATGTGTCACAAGATGGGAAAAAAAAAATTGAAGCTGATGGAATCTTTCATGGTAGACACCTTTCTGAGCTTCATGAACACAGGATCCCACAAACTAATATCCCCTCTGTACAGATAAAACTGAAACAATTTGAGAAATGCAATGGCAGCTGCAGGGACTGAACCCCACCCTTTTTTCTGCATTTTTTAGATATACTTCAGCCCATGGTACTTCCATCATTTGTATTTTGAACACTAATAAGTCTGTCAGTGTATGATCTCAAAAGGGAGTGGAGGGGTGAAAACTATGCCAGCATCTGTCACTCATAAAATTACCATAAAAAGGTGATCAATTCATAGTATTTTTTTTTGCCATCACCAAGTAAACTAGCCATGACTGATAATATAAGTATTGCTGATGACTGGTTTAAAGAATGATGAAGAAACACCCCCAGAATAAAACCATGTAATGGGCTTCATTATACCCACAATGTACTATGCTGGAGAGAGAGTGGATCTCATATTGTGGTACCCTGCATATCATAGTCTTGCTGTGGCAAATAAATTTAGGATGAAAATAAAGTGCTTCTGGAGACAAATTGGTGAAAAGGGAACTTAAATAGGTAATTTTACTCCTTTTTGTTTTACCTCTTTAGTAGCCTTTTTTTAATTAAAACAAATATATGAATATGTGAGCTTTGATTGTCTTACTTATTTAAATTCAATAGTGGCATCCTTGAATTTTCCTTGACAGAGGCCTTACCAACAGCAGAATGGCTTCAGCTGTCACAATTCACTTTCTGTCAATTCCATTCTGATGTGGTCAGTAGCCTGAAAATGCAGTGAACTAGAACGGAACTGAACATGTATAAGAGGTGTTCCTGAAAACTCATGGTTTTCCCACAGCCATTTATTTGCCTGCTCATAACATATTAATTCAAATTTAAGCTGCCATACATAAGCAAAATCATAGTGCCTGATTGTCTTAGAAATAATTCATTCAGGGAAATAATAAAAAAAACAAAGAATATAGGTTAGAAGCATTTTTCACATAGTCTTCCTTGACTTCACAGTCAGTTGAAATATATATCAAAAGAAATCATCTAAAATCTTTGATCATGTTCAAAATGTTTTTAAACTTACCAGATTCATAACAGCCTATTTTCTTAAGTGAGAATGAAACTGAGTAATCTTTGATTCCAATGGCTAACCTGGTGGACAGTATTGGCTCCAAGAAGAAATCTGAAGTTTTCAACAGTCTGCTGGATGATGGGGATTCCCTTTTGATGAAATCTGTCCAAAATGGGGGAATCTTGGAGATGGGATTTATGATAAACACAATAGATCTCTCTCTGTCCTCTTTCTAAGGCCAGGGACACAGGATGGACTCCATAAATCAACTCCCCTAGTACCAATGCAAGAACCCATGAATGAAAATTCAAATCTAGCAGCAAGTAAAGCATAAAAAATATTAACTTTTTCCAAATTACACAGGAAGATCAAATCTTAGCAGTGTTATGATGTTTCAACAAAATACATTATGTGAAATTGAGATTGGTTAATTGCAGGACCAAACAAATTAATATATACACATAAGCCAAATAATAACAGTGAGCAGCTAATGCCTATAAGGAAGGAAAAACTTTCAGTCATTTGCAGGTTTTAACAGGAGAATATTCAAAATTCCAGAAGTAGAGTTAGCCCACTTTGGATTTGACATAGAATCTAAGCCTCTAAATCAATGCAGTATATGTAGAGAAGTTTCTGCAATAGCACATCCTATTGATAATAAAAAAATTGCATATGGGACTAATTTTATGTCAATGGTATCATTTTAAGAGATTAAGATAATGGAGGAACTTCAAAACTGATGATTTGGGATTGAATTTCATGTTCTAACAGTTTCTTAGTTCATTCCCTTACTTTAACCCTTTCAGATCTGGTGTCCATTCCAATGGATATTGCATTTACATTGTGTCTATGGAAATTTCTTAGGATTCTCATGACTTTGCACTCCATATTATGCTACAATGGGCACAATTATGCATGGCTCGGTTCCATCAGAGGCCACCCATTAGTTTTGTAATCTTAAGTTATTTAATTAAATGCATAATATTTAATATATGGTATGATATGGTAAATTTATACAACATATAAAAACTGCATATAAAGCATGAAAATTTCAATTGAAATCAAGTAAGAGCTCAAAAATGCAAAAAAGGATATTATTCCAATAGCAGCTTTAAATCAGGTCTGAAAGGGTTAAAAATAGGTAACAGCATTCCCCCTTAGGCACCACTGCACAAAACCCTATAGAGCAAATTATGGCATATTTGGACATTTGAGAATATATCCACTACATTTCACAAAATGATGACCATATCTATATATTTATTGCACTTATAATTGAGTGATGATATTTTTATAATGTTCTTCCAGGATTGGTGGAGTGTATATGTCAGTGGATGGGTTCAGAATACAATTTGTTAAGGCCATAGGGCACCAAGTTTGTTCAAGATTTAAGGCAGCCACTGCATACAAGATTGCTTCAGGTGAGATTGATGAAAGTGATGCCATTAAGCTGGTTAACTTGGATCACAAATGCACTCAGAGTATAGTAAAAATGAGATTCTACAACAACAAAAAAGTAGGGATACACCTAGTGGGTCCTAGATTGCACCTTGCACCACTACAGTCATGTATGCCAGAGGAAGGAGCTCAAGTGTTATCCTCTGTGCTATAAAGAAAACTCTAAAAGACATATGCTTGCAAGAACTTATTAATACTGGACCTTTGTTGTTCCAAAGAGCAAACTATTTCAGAGTATAAAAAGGCAGTATCAAGAATATTTTTAGAAACTAAGTTCTTAACAGGTTGACTGCCACGAGGCACACCAGTGAATGGGAAAATCAATAGGCCAGCATTGCCATGGCGGTCAACATGTTAATGATGATCTCTGGACTATCCCATGGTGATGGTGATATCCCTATTCTATGATGGACATACCAATGATCTTGGGTAGAGGCATTTGTCTAGGGTGGTTGATTCTAGCTTGGATCTTCTTCCTCTGCTGAGGTCTACAGGAGGTCATCACCATCATCATATGTTGACCCACCCTCATATTATGATGTCACCTGAGAAACTGAAAATTCACATTCAAGCAACCTGACATTTGGCACATTCAATATTTTCATATCTGAGCATAGTAAACTTCAAGCACAAGGTTTTCCTCCCAACTCATCAGAACTGCCTCTGAAGCTGGGATGACCATCCAAGAATGTGTCATTCATAGCCAATTAAGTACTCCTTGGGAAGGCAGACTTCCTCAGCTAAATTTCTTGTGCCAGTATGCTTACTTTCATCCACCTTCATAAAGCTGAGCAACAACAATATGGAGCACTTGGGGGTTATAGTGATCTGAATCCCCCCCAGTCACTGCTTTTGTAATGCTGCTGACTACCCTCACTTTCAAACCCCTAAAACTTCCTGGCTGACCTACTCCATCAAATATTCTTCCAGCATTACAGTGAAAAATTACCTGTATCACCCTTCACACAAAGTCTAAAAGTCTGTCAGAGTATGATTTTTAGAGGAAGACTGAAAACCACACCATCATATGTTGGTATAATGGATCCAAATCTGGAATAAACATAGCAAAAGTTGACCTCTTATGGCAAGAAATTCATCAAATGTGGGCATTGTGTGCACCAAATTGAGGGAAGAAGCACACTTCACTATGCAGTGAACTTGTGAAGCACAAAGAAGGAGAACTTCAAATATTGCTGTTTTTTAATCTATCAGTGAATGGGGGATCTACCAACTGCATATCTACCTGATGTGCCAGGGGATGATAGTATTCAAAGCAGCTGAACCAAATCTAAGACTTAGCAGTATTGGCTACTTGGAAAAGTTAGGGTCCCCCTTCAATTTGGGGTGCACATGTCAACTTCTTTTGCTAGTCATGACCAGCTGACCCAAGCGATTTTCACCTTCAAGATTATTTCTCCCAATTTTGAGAGCCTTATACTTAGGCAATGAATTTTTATGCAAATGCATACTTTCCTGCAACATCATAAAGGCATGCAACTCAGACAGAAGCAAGTATTACTTGGAGAAAAAGTTATAAGAACAATCTAAAAAGCATAAAAGTACATCTTTTAGGGTTTTATGATCATATTATACAAGCTTGTCCATATGTATGCATATTAACATATATCCAATTTCCCATAATAATAAAAAAATTTGGAACTGATGAGTGGGCTGTCATTTTTCAAGTTTCTTCCACATTACTTAGAGAGAAAAGTCAATGCAATCAATGCAAGGGCTGATCCAAAATTTTGATATAATTAGGGAGCAGATTTTATGCACTAAGAAGTGTTGAAATGTGCGGGAATAATGCAAAATATATATAGATATTTCCTTATGCATAATTATTCCTGCATATTTCAGCACTTCTTAGTGCATAAAATCTGTTCCATAATCATATCAAAATTTTGGATCAGTGCTTGCATTGATGCAGTGATTCAATGCAGTTCATTCATAGTTTTCTGAAGCAACATAATGTACTGTAATAGGTCATGATGGCTCTGAATGATAAATTTTCCTAACATATTTGATACTTTAATTTTTCCAGGCGAGAAATGCAGGGGTAAAATTGAAAATTTGAATTTTTATATCACACATGCAGTATGCATCTGGAAGAAAACAGGAGCAATGATTGATAATGCAATGACATCAGCCAAATGTCTGTGAGACATTCATTGGCTCCACATGGCTTCCATATGCCCATGGCTTCATAATTTTCTCAAAGAAAACAGAAATGTTCAAAACAAGACAAACCACATTCGTATCTTTATTATATAGCACAAAAAAAATGGAAAGATGGATTCAGGTGACAGGGTTATCCTTCTTCTTCTGCTTTTTAGCTCGGGGGGCCCTCTTGGCCCGCTTATTTCCAGGAGAAGGTTGATCAAGTGGGGAACGACCACCTCGCTTCTTGTTTACCTTCATCACATTCTGATGAGAGAGGAAGCGGTCATCCACTTTCCGTCTCACCCCAGCTGCCTTCTCTGCTGCACTGGCAATGAATGGGGAGGATTTGAGCTTAGGTTGTGGTTTCAGTGTGGCTGTTGAGGATGGTTCAACCTCTTCATCCTCATCTTCATTATCGCTCTCATCTGTCAGTTCCATCTCCTCATCCAACTTGGAAGTGAAGTACCTGCAACATTAAATACTTTTCAACTACCTTGTCAAATACTCAATATGAAATCAGTTCCAAGTATTTTAAAATTCTTTTTGTAAAAGATACAAATTACCAGTTCCTAGTAAGTTTCTTTTTATCATCTATTCTATTTCTGGAAGGACTTTCTTGCAATAAACCACTAAAAAGTTAAGAGCTGTTATGTTTCACACTACATTTGAGAAAGCAGAAAGTCTTTACAAAAGAGGGTTTTGCAATCTAATTATTTTTTTTAACTACCAGTGATTTTATCCTTCATCCGCATGAATGTTGAAACATGAACTTGGGAAGTGAGTTTCATTTTAAATTTGTCCTTTGTAACATAGGACTATGAATTCTGCAAGGAAAATCTTGATTCATTAATTTATTTGGCCTTATAAATGAAAGGGTATTCAAAGTACATTTTGGACATATTTTTTGCCATAGAAATAGGCCTACCATATATGAAGTGTGATCAAAAAGTTCAAAGACTGAATTTTTTATGACTCTTTGGCGACTCTTTCTGAATACTGATGGCTATATCCTTCAAAGTAGTTCTCTTCAGCATCTACACCATTTTCTTGTGTTTCTTCAGCTGCTGGAATCATTGCTGACACTTATCTTTTGGAATCACCAGCAGTACTTGTGCCATGCTTGTAACGCTGCTTTAAATGTCTTGGAATTTCCTTCCCTTGCAGTTTCAGTGGTTTCTGACCTACCCCACAATCCCTGTACTTCATCAGCCTTCCAAATTGCTGGACTAAGCTCCTAGTAATTTATTTTTGGTCCCTAAGCTAAAGAGTGTGCTGAAATGGAGGAGATTTCAGGCATTCAAAGCAAAATTGTATATACAATGTGGGCACTGCTGGTGAAAATTTGTGTAGATGCTGAAGAGGACTAGTTTGAAGGATATAACCATCAGTAGTCAGAAAGAGTCATCACAGCATCATAAAAATTCAGTCTCTGAGCTTTTTGATCACACCACATACAGGAGGATTCCAACGGTTGTGCAACCCTTAAAAGTATTATTTACACATGAAGTAAGTGCAGCAGAAGCACCAAAGTACAGAGGAATAATGTTCTCCATGGTTCCATATACACACCATTCATAACAGGTGCTGAAAGAGGTTTCTGAATTCTTAGATCCAAGAATGTAGGCAATACTGCCTATTCTTAGCCACAATGAGATGAATCCTCCTTTTCTTTTTCTGGAATATTTTTCACCATTTGTGCAGAACAAGGTAAATTAGAGATCAGAAATCAATTATGGAGAGACAGAGGAGGAACTCTTCATAGCTCATAAGTAGAACAGTGATTGATATCCCCATGGAATGCTGGAATTCTTCAAAATGCCTCATAATTGCCATGGTTACATTTGGTTCTTTTCCTTACTCGATGTTAACTACCTAATGGAACCACCACCCTTCCCAGAGACTGAGTTTTTGGTAGAAAAATATTTTTCCAAATCTATCAGTATTCCAATTGGTAATAAAGGTTAAAAACTACTGGTTTAAGGTGAGGCCCCCTTTAAAAAAAAGGAGACGGAAGAGGTCAGACCAGTAAAATAAACAGACCGGTGTTTCTGTTTCTGAGGAATGGAGTCCTCTTGAAACTCAACAGAGCTGGCTTCGGAAGTTAGATCACCTTCATCTTCATCCTCAGAGCTAAGCTGTTCATCATCTTCTAACATGTGCTTCAATTTCACTGAGATATGACTGTCAAGCTGAACATGTGCTTCTTTCCGTTTTTTCTTCTTATTCATGCTCACTTGCACTCCATCATCATCTTTGCTTTCAGGTAACTCTTCTTCCATTTCTGTCTTGGTTCCTTTCTCTGACTGATCAACCACTCCATCCAATGTGATTCCAAGCTTCTTGGACTGTTTTTTCAGTTTCCTCAACCGAGCTTTTGCCTTTGCTTGGACTTTGCGTGCCGATTCTTTACCCTCATGTTGAGCCTGTAGCCGTTGAAGGCGTTGCATCCGCTTCATGCTTCCTGGTGTTTGGAACATTCCTGGCTTCAGCTTCTCTGGTGGGACTACCTTACCTGAATTGAAATAGGTTCCTTATACTTAACTTTTACTTATCAATCAACAGATAATTGATTGGGAATGGAATATGACTCACATTTGAGAAGTTTCTTGAACATGAGATAATTGTTCATGGTCTCAGCCACAATAGATGCTACTTCTGGAAATTGGAACTGGATGAAGGCAAATCCTCGGCTTTCCCCAGTCTGTTCAGGTTTGGGGATAATCATGCTATAATTATGGCTCTCACATTTGTAGTGTGGAAAACTTCAATTCATTGACTTCAAATATTGATGCATGTATGGGTAAAACAAACAGGCTCAGCCAACAATAAACAGTAACCAATGCCAGGGTAAGGCACACATATATGTAGCAATGAGAACATTGCGAAAAAGCAATTGCAACCTGGCAACAGATACTAAGTTTGGCATAATCTTACCTTCTTGCTACGAGCCAGTGAGATGCGTCTTACTTTCCCAAACTGAGAAAAGAACTTCCTCATTTCCTCTTCATAGAAACCATGTGGAATGTGACTGAGATATACAATGGAACTCTTTTTCTCAGGGTGGTCCTTGTATATGTTCTGTTTCTCTCTCTTCTCCAGCATGAGTTTTTTCTCTGCCTCATTCTTCTTTTTCTTCTTGATCTCCTTGGAGCTACCAGACTTACTTGTGATTTTTCTCACCTTCATCATGAATGAAGTCAGCATAAACCTAGGGGGAAACATGAACATGGGTTTCTGGCTTCCTTTATCACAAATTGCAGGCCAAGCATTCAACATATATAGTAGTTTTAGGCAGAAACCTAACACTACTGACAAACTGGAAAAGGGGCTGTCAGACATGTTAAAAATGTAAACCATGAGGATAAATAAGAGGACTGTCTAACCCAATGGTTCATGGCCTGCATATTATCATTGATCAGATCAATTTGTAGTTCAAGGACAGAGAAACAGATGAGAAGTTATTCTAAAACATGAACTTATAGTTTCATGATTTACAAGTCATCTTGCAGGCCTTTAAAATGCCAATGTGGGGCAAGCAGTAAAGAAATACAGTTTTAGCCAGTGAGGATTTCACAAGGTTTTCTGCTTTGAGTTCAACACCATTTCAGTTGACTCCAATGTCAACTCAAGGGCAAAGGCTTTCTTAATCTAGACCTTATTCCTTTGACATGTTTCAACCAAAGGGAAGGCCTTCTCTTAACCAGTACTGCTAACCCTGACTTAACATAAATGAATACATTTCAGTAATTACTAATAAATATTGGCATACAATTCAATCCTGGGCTGAGCCATTCTTCACCCCCAATTTCTGCTGCAACTGTGTGTATTTATTTACAACATTGCATCCATGTGAGATGTTTGAACGATGTTCTGTTTAGGTCTCGTATCGTCGAAAATCAGGGATAAGGGCGAATTCTGGCGCTAGGAAGTGCCAGAAACAGTCTATTTTCCTAAGAATGAGGGATGAGAATTGATGACTATCGCCAATTATATATAAGAGCTGAGACTCTTGGCGTCAAGGTGCAAAGTCGAGGATTCCCCAAGCCTCTTTCTGTAGTTCAAAGAAAGGGGTATATCCTTACCCCCTCTGCAAACTTTCGAAATGTCATTTTTGTCCACGTCATATCAATACGCAGTCTAATAGTAATTCTCCCACTTCAACTTTAAGTCTTCTGGCCTCACTGTCTCCTTTTCTTTAATGACTCATATTAACTTATAATGCTGTGACATTTAAAGCCCACCCGAGAAATAAAAATTTGATTGACGTCACACCCCCCACGTTTTTTGGCTCTGGCCGACGCTAGAAGTCACGTGCCACAGTGTGCATCGCCATATTGGAATGGTAGCAATAGGGCGATTTCGATTGTGAAGTCCTATGGAGCATCGGACATGGGCGATTCAAAATCGCAACTGCAAGTTTCTTCGCCTTGCACATTAGCAGGATGAGCAATAAATATTCATAATACATTTAGTTTTTAAATTTATGAATGCACAAGAAGAGCAAAGAAAAATGACGTGGTATCAATAGGTCGGTGTCTCTTTGCACGGCTGTGTTGGGTGTTTCAACAGGACTCCACTACGAGTCATATGGCTCGAGGCTAAATAACCTGGCCAACAGACCATGAAGCATAAATGAACAGCAAACATTAATGGTATCCTTGAAGTCCTGAATTTAATCCAATGGGTGCATGTTTGCAGAGTGTGTCGTGTGGGTGAAAAAAAAGTAGTGCGGTTTCTATTCAATCTAGCATGCTCAGGGTCGGTCTGGCCCACAAGGATACCGAGAAATTTCCTGGGGGACCCCTTAGTCTGCAGCATGGGGGTGGTGGCCCTTTGTCAGCAATTTCCTGGGGGGAGGGGGGGGGGGGCCTATGTCGCCAGTCCGACCCTGGCTGTGCAGCACGAACTCTTTGCCGGACACCATGCAGCCAGGGCCGGCCTTAGTCATGTGCCACATGTGCCCCCGCAGAGGGCGCAAATTCACCAGGGGCGCCAAAACGTGAATGAATACATGAAGCAATAATCCAGAAGCCACCCTCAGTTTCATTTCAGAAAGTGGAAATGTCTTCCATAACAAAATCCCGAGTACGCCTCTGGTACTTCCCGATGGGAATATGTCTCGAGACCTCACCGACCGAATGGCGGAACCCGCGAGGTTCACCGGAGATTCTCAAGCATTTTCCACGAGTCTGTCAACATGCACTTCGCGAGGCTTCACAGCAGGACAGGTTGAATTGAATACGACTTTTTTCGGATGACTCCGACGCACTCCCTGTGCATGCCGAGTAAGAACACGTCCAACTCCACTGAAAAGGCAGTACCTGCAGGGTGAACATTTTAAGTAAGAACCCATCCCAGGTAGCACACTCTGCTGGGATGCAGCTGTGAAAAGGGGAAGAAAATCAGCAAATTCTCAAGTGGGAACAGGGCCGTTTCTAGGGGCGGGCGATCGCCCGGGGCGCCAGCGGGGTAAAGGGGGAGGGAGGGGGGCGCCATTGGAACTTCTTGCCCTGGGCGCCAACACGCCTAGAAACGGCCCTGAGTGGGAATGTCACACTTTATGCAGCTGAGTAGCAGCAGAAAAATAGAAGAGAAGAACTTCTGTAGCTCAGCAGTGATCCAGCTGTCAGGAGTCAGGAGAGTTAGTGATATCAAGAGGCGATTTCGCCCATTTCGATATCACGTGTCGAGGTCGAGCGTTCCTTAATTTTAGGGTAGGCCTAACCCTCTTAAAGCTATATATTTTTGTATTTTTTTTTTTACTATCCTAGTTGCTTACTGTCTAGTACCTACGTCAACATTGCCCCCCACCTTTTTGCCTGTCCATGAAACCATCTAGTTTCTTCTTAAAGATAGTCACAGCGCGGGGCAGCCACTACTTCGTCATCTAACGCATTCCACGCGTTCACCACTCTGCAAGTAAAGAATTCCTGTCTCGACCTGAGCCGCACCTGCGGTTTGCGCAACTTAAGTCGGTTACCTCTCGTTCTCTTGCTGTCATCAAACTGGAAAAACCTACCACACTCGACATTATCTATTCCTTTAATTATCTTGAAAGCCTGGATGAGATCGCCCCTCCTTAACCTTCGTTCGAGCGAGTACAG